TGGTGTCCTGTGTCAGATATTGTCTAACTCAGTGATAAATCACAGAGAAATACTTCTGTAAGCCAACACCCCCCACTTGCGTTAATTTGGCGCTCATTAGCTGTGCGAAACATGACTCTGCATAAAATGCTGCAGATTTGATTCCATTTTACGAGAGATCATGGCAGCCAGTGTTAACGAGGGCTGAGTTTCACTGGATATTGTGTCGAATAGACAAGTGGTAACTAAAGCATTGGTTCACGGCAAGTGTTAAATTAAGTTTGATGGCTGCTACTTAGGCAGTTAATGGATTTGGAGGATTCTTAAAGGCGCTCCCTTGCCTCACAGACACACGTTAGCACTCTTAGTAACATATGGAGATTTGCTCCCTGAACCGACTGTAGGCCAAATTGGCTTCGAAACCATAAGCTGCACACCCCAAAGGACCTTGCCCTGCTTAAGTGATTTATTCCCTTAAGCTTAGCAGTGTTGCTGCTGTAATTACAGGAAATTGAAACAAACCTTTGGATCAGGAGGTGCCCGCTCTTCTCGGCTGCCAGCAAATGTGAAGGAGTCGACTTTTGGCGGAGCTGACATGTGGGGCGCTCGTTAACACTGCAGCTCAATCAGCGCCATCCCTGGCCTAACATGCCAGTGAGGAGTCACACAGTAAATTATGGCATCACACATAGACATAAGACCAGTTTCCTTCTTACTTTTTACCATTTAGGCAATAGTTGATTGGTTACTTTGTTTATTTTTGTGGAACGAGAAGCAAAAGTTGGCAAAAAAGGTTGTGTACCCAGAAGGAATGGTCCAATTTGGGAGTGACTTGGTACACAACCAAACCAATGATGAGGGTGTACAGGATTCAGTTTGGAAGGGATTGGCAGATCTAAAAGGAACACCAGAGTGCAAAGGTCTTGGCCTCTTAATTGGAATGACAGTGATTAGAAAGACTTGTACGCCCGTTAGACAGCATTACCAGAACATTAAGTGTTTGCATCAGGCCACAGTATTATATAGAGAAATTGCCTGACAAATCCTTCATCCGTAAATGGTCCCCCTCTCCAACTTGCTTTACCTCTTTCATTTGGTGAAACCTAAATAAATCTTACATTGATGGTTTGATTAATAGCTCTGACTGATGCTATTAAACCTGCCTTATATTCCTTTGCTGGCCCTTCAATCAGCTGTTCAGCTGCTTTGGGTTAAACCAAAAACTGGACTGAAACTAGGGCTGAACGATTAATTGCATATGCAATGAAATTGCAATGTGACAAAAGGAGATTTTCTAATCGCAAAGGCATTTGACTGTCAGCGAGTGGTTAGCACAATGCTAATATACACTGAAAAACCCATAGGGATGCTAATGCTAATATTACAGATTACATTCTTACAAATTAGGAACGTGCCAAATTATTACATCTGGAGTCTAATAAAATATAAAACTGCTACTAATTAATTTTTTTCTTTACTTGTGAGTGTTTATGTAGACAAATAAACTTGTTGATATGATATGTAGATAAATATGTAGATACATAAACTTGTTTATACTTGTTTTTTTGTTTCCGTTAGTTGAAAAATGAGAAAAGCACATTGAGAAAATAATTGTGAAGCAAATCGCAATTGCAATATTGAAAAAAAATTTGCAATTAGATTATTTTTCTAAATCATTCAGCCCCAACTGAAACTCACAGGCTTTTTTTAGTCATGGCTTCCAAACTCATGCACAAACTGCCTTTAAATATTTTACTCAGCCTGAGTAATTTTAAAATTGTACTTGGACATACAGAAATGAGCTGACCAGTGTTTGAACGATTGGGTGGTTGTGGACGCCCACACAGGTCATGAGGGCTCGGGTCAGCCAAGTCAGAGACTGTGGGAGAATCATCGTATTGTTTTGGCTCTGCTTCCAGAAAAAAACAACATGGCAGCGTCTGTATATGAGATAACTCTTTGTTATCAGCCAGAGGGGTTCATTGTCTTAAGTGTTGACTGGTCTAAAGGCATGGTGTGACCCAGTAACCTTAAGGTGGGCACTGATGATGAGTCACCAATGAAACTCGGTTTTAAATTACCAATTATGACCACCAGGTGCATCTATGATTAGAAATATCGTACATCCATGGTTTCCCAGTAATTGATCGTTTGGACTGATGAGGTTTAGTAATCACCTTTCAATTAGGGATGTCCCATTCCAATATCGATATCGGAAGTAATTCGATATTGGCCCAAAAACTGTGTATCGGATTATTAAGGTTCACATTTTTGCAACCAATGGTTAAAAAAAAAATTCTTTTTTTTCATACCGTTATTGGCTCTTGTTCTCTGATTGAGTAATATCACTTGATCAAGCCTTTCATACATTCTACACTGTGAAATAGGTAAAGGTATGTATGATTTGTGCTGATATCTTATCGGATTGATATCGGTATCGGTCATTGCTGAAGGCTGCAATATCAGTATCGTATCGGAGGTCAAAAAGTTGTATTGGGACATCCCTACTTTTAATAGCAACATCCCTTTACCATCATATGCTGTAAACATGTGTCCATGTCATTATACTCTCCGCAACTCAATGGCTGCTTTAATAAGACACAGGGCAGGCAAATCAGCGTAAAACTGCCGCCACGGTGTATCTTGGCAAAGTATGGCGATGCACGAATTTTGTGGATTTCATTCCACCAAGCTTGGTATTAATATTACCACAATGCTGCACTTGTGAATGAAGATTACGACTTGGCGCAACAGAGGGTGACGTCATGATCACGGTTGGAATGCCTGCCGAGCCCCGGATGGCAACTATAATGAAGATAAATGTAAACACAGGCAGTCTAAAAGATAAAAGGGAAGTCCATGGCAGTGCTGAAGCTGCCTCCACACACCCTTTATACCACCATTGTGTAATCTATTGTGAAAAATACATGATGGTGCCACATTACCACCCTAGTCTGACCACTTATGAATGACCACTTATGATGCCAGCTCAGTTTTGCAGCAAATTGGCGGCATTGTATGGTGAAAGGGTAAAATATTAGGATTAGGGTTACTGGGTCAAAGAAGCTGTTTGGGAGAATCAGTGATGGATAATTAAAGTATCAAACTGATCTCCTAAAATAATTTTTGAAAAAAAGTTAAAGGAAATATTTTATACTTTGATATACTAATAAATGTTTTTGAGCAATTTACTTGGGGATGTGTAAGTGTCTAAAAGTACTACATTAAAAAGTCCACCACAGGATCAGGTCCACACAAGTAGTCAACATTGTTTTCAGTCAGATTTTTATTGGCAACAAGCGAGAGACACTCAATTGTAGGAAAAATATAGTTTTTTTTTTTGCTCAAATCACACTGAATTGGTGAGTATATTTTACAAATGGCTGAGTGTATTATAGAGTTTCAACCATATTCATTAGGGATGCACAATATATCAGAATCAATATCGGTATCGGCCAATGTTAGTCATTTTATTACATATCGGTATCGGTTTGATAAATAAAACTGGACCGATATTAAAAACTGGTGTTTTTTCCATCTTGTTTCAATTTGTTTATCTGTTTCAGAGGGTGAGGGGGGTGATGTGTATTTGTTTAGTCATGTGACAGTGATTGTAATCGTCTCAGAAGAGTAGATGTGTGTGGTGTGTGTACTTAATAATGTAAATTCAGCTTTAATAGTTGTCATTCTATACAAAATCTTCTGCTTTTAGAAGCATTAATGTCAGTATATTGGTATTGGCAAATATCGGTTATCAGTCATAACATTGATAATAATATCGGATATTGGTATCGGCCCAAAAATTTCATATCGGTGCATTCCTAATATTCATATATTTTGCTTGTCATAATTCAGTCTAAACGTTTTTAATTTACTCTGTTCGCAACATCACTTCATGTAATTTTCCATTTGGTCACCAAACCCTCTCAAAAGTATTCACTTTTCTTGCACTTTTTAATTTACAGAAACCAAACTGAGAAGACTTCCAGACGGGTTCCAGATGCTAAAACCTGACAACATGACAACCTTGATGGAAAACAAATTGCCATTTTAATTTGTGAGGGACTTCTTAAACCATCTGGAAACATCCAGGAGCGTTCTCGGTTGCAGGGCCTTGCTCTTGTGTCACTGGAACTGAAAATAACAGATTGAGGACAATCCCGTGTTGGACTGTCCGGAACCAGTCTCAGTTTGGTTTTCACCAGTCAGAAAGTGCATCAAATGTAGGTGTGAGGGGTTGAAAAGCGGTCAACTGCAAAGCAATTGATGCAATACAAGGTCACTTTTTAACCAAGTTATGGCAATCCCAATTACATCACATTCAACAATTTGGGTTGCAAAAGTGTCCCACGAATTAGGGGATTTTACATCTCCAGCTTGTTGCCAGCAGTCCCAGCTAGGTGAGATATTAGCATTAGTATTTTTTGGTTAAAATTGTGTTTTTCTTGCAGTTTTCTGCGTCTGAGTCCCTGTTGGTCCTGTGGTGACCCATAGACTCTTGGTGAGTTATTTGCAGCAGTTTTCACAGGAGTGAAGAAGAGTGTAGCTTTGCACTTCTTTAGAATCAACTACAGATATATAAAACATACATGAAGGAGTGATTTGGTTACATGTGGCAAAATAAATAAAAAAAAAAGTATAGTATTTTTTATTTTCCAACAAGGAAATAAACATTTTCATGACAACAGAATCATTTGGATTATTTTATTGTGACATTAAATATTAAATATGCTAATAGATTATTACTCATTAGAATATTTATGCCTATATTTGTGAATCAAATCGTCATTATTACAGGGGTCAGTGAACGCGACATAAAACCAGTGAAATTGAAAAGATTAGGATGAGGAGATGATTATGTTAAAGTTCAGTAAACGCATCGTTGACTCTGTTATCTGGTTGAATAATTAGTTTGAAAATGTAAAACTCAGCCGAAGTGAGTTCAAAAATGATGGAGTGAAATAATTGGCGCTGATTTCATGAGAAGAGGGAGTGCCCCCCCTTTACTAGTCACCACTCACTTTTTGCTCTTTTGGACGCTCTTCTTGTCCTTCTTGTTCATCACCACCGGCACGCAGCTCGTCAGCTCCGTCCAGTCCGCGTGCAAGCCGCAGCTCCAGCCGGTGGAGAACCGGGAGAAGAGCCACGACTCGGCTTTCCCCGGCCGGTGGCAGGTGCACTTCCGCTGGCCGGCTAGGCAGTCGCACGGCTGCTCCAGCTGGATGTTCTTCACCAGGTGTCGCCCGAACGTCGTCCCGCCCGTCTTCTGGATGTGCAGGAACACCATCACGTCGTCCCCGCGGATGTTGAAGTCGACGTGCCGGTCCAGGTCCCGCTCTGTGAAGTTGAACTTAGACGTGATTTTGGAGGGGAAGTCGTCGTCCGCCTCGGGCTCCGTGTAAACTAAGTCGAAGCCGGAGGAGGACTTGTAAAAAAGCCCCTTGTCCTCGCTTCGGAAGTAGCAGGTGTTGCTGTCGGCTGGACACACGTACTGGTAGCCGATCATCAGGAAGAGGACCGCAGCGATGGGAATGAAGATGAGTCTGTTGAACTTATCCTCCATGGTGGAAAACTGTAAATCACGCCGTCGGCACAAACCTTAACGAGATGCCCGCGTGGCTGCCCTCGCGCCCCCGTCTCATCCTGTGCGTTCGGCCGGGGCTCGGGGCTCTTCGGTCGCCTGGAGCTGGAGCTCAAGTCCCAATAACGTGAACATTTCCCCCGCAGCGTCCCGCACCGCGCAGCACTCCACTTCTCAAACTTGTCTATTTAATTGTTTCTCTAAACTAACCGGACATACTTTCCCTCTTCAACGTGCCAAATTAGCCCCATTACTCTTTAGCGATGCGACCTTGTTGGTGGCGCCGGGGAGGAGCGATTCATCCCCGCTCTAGAGCGCTCCGGATCGGCTGTCCTGCCACTCACTGATCGGTATCTGAGCCGATAGCACCAGCGGCAAGACAGGCGCGTGCAACAGTGGCGTTTCCGGTAATGACTTTCAAAATAAGACTTCAAAGATTATAGTTTTTATCTGCATCTAAATTCAGAAGAATATGAGTTACATCGACGGATGTAATCCATTTTTTAATCTGAGATATTTTTTCTTTTATTTAAAAGCTTGTAGACTCTGAAAAATGTAACTGGACTTCTTTATGTCATTGAAGATGTTTAATTATTTCCTAATTCAAACAGCAAAATTCAGAGTACCTCCTGACATAACTCTCATTAAAGTGACAGTGTGTAGTTTCCCTGGTGATGGGGGCAGTACATACCTAAATGATTGCAAGCAAGCATTACTTTTGTGTTCAAGTAAGACCTTACTAACGGATCACCATTAGGATCAAAAATCCCTGGGAGTGCAGCTTCCAGCAAAATACCAAGAACATCAGATTCCCTTTCATCACCGGCAACGAGTGAAGAGGTGACTGTGCAAAACAACAACGTTTATTAATGGTGAAAAGTTTGTAACCATTTGTTACAAATCGGTAAATTCATTTTGTCCTCACAGGCTTCCGTAGAAGGAAATATGGCATCCAATATGGCGTCACCGAGCGATTTAGACCCACTCCCATGAATTTTAGAACAGATTTCTATGACTATATGTTATGAAATTACCAATATTTTTCATCAACTGGGCATCTTTTAATTCATGTATAACATTTTGATGGATATTTCCAGAGATTAATGGTTAAAAACTCAACATTGTTACTTTAACTGGAAAAATCTATCCCAGTAAAAAATTATCCAGGGTTCTAAACTTCTTTCATAAAATCTCTACTGGATTTACTTCACTGGCCCAAAGAGAAACCATGTAAACTCAAACTATGGACCTGTCTATATTATTTCTTAAGGGTTCACAAGAATAATCAACTAATTTTAATGTATTCAAATAGCTACATCAGGTTTGTAAATCAAGTCAAATATGCCATTTAACCAGCATTTACTGCAAGTATGGCACAAGAATGAACACCAGAAAAACAATTCAAAACCTCGTTTTAAGACAGTTTTTGATCACAAAACTCGGTTTACAAAACAATTAAGTGGGGGGGGGGGGGGGTTAAATACATTTAGGAGTGGATCTCAAGAAATTGAATCAAATTATGAATATTTTTAATACCATTATTACAAATATGCCAATGCTGGTAGTCATAAAATGATATCTTTTTTTAATAGTATCTGAAGCTGCTTGTTTTTCATTATGCATTTGATCATGTTTTGCAACCACTGATATTTAGGGTTTCAAGTTTTCCCCATAGTTCTATTGTAGGTATAAATCCGGAAACACTGTGGAACACAGGTCTATGTGGGATATTATCCTAGAGAACTATGACATAATAAAGAAATAAAAAGAAAAGTTGCCTCTCTTATTTTGAAGACTCATCTGTTCTGTTTCCGGTTTGGATCTGGCTGGCTTGCCTCAACATCTGTGCCAGTCATCTGTCCCGGCTGCCGAGTCCATGACGCAACTGCCTCGCTAATCACACAAACAAATGCACCGAGAAGAGAAAAATGCTTTGAAAAAAATCAAGGAAATGACTTTTATCACACAAAAATTTCCAAGTGAAGGTGAGAGTTGGCCTGGCTGACACGGACTTGAATGGCATTTTCGTCCAGTGCATGTTAACCAATCAGCAAGATTTTAGCCTCTTGATGTAAAAACTATTCAGTCATTGATAGGGGTTGTATGAACTAGTCGCCCTCACTGCTCTGTAGTGACTTTTTATGCCTGTCATTGACTAGTTGCTGTCACGTGATAATGACAAGATGCAGTCCTCGGAAAAGACAGCAGGTGACGAGCCCCCTGCGCGTCTGGATCGAGGCGGAGGCGATGCGCTGTGCCAGAGCGTCGGTACCGACACCCGCCGTAAAACGGACATTTAACCAAATTGTGACCTTCACCCTCTTGCAATTTAACCTTCCCCTCACCCCCATCCTAACCTTAACCAGCTTGCGCATGCAAAGCTCTGATCATTGACGTGCTCCAGACATCTGCGTCCTGAGCACGGCCACAGTAACATTATCAAAACAGTAGGGCTGCAACAACGAATCGATAAATTCGATGAAAATCGATTACTAAAAGCGTTGGCAACGAATTGCGTCATCGATTCGTTGTGTCGCACAACTCTTCCAAAAGCGCCCCCCCCCCCCCCCCCCCCCCTTCCTGCCCGCCGTTGCGCGCAGACCAGAGCAAGTCAGATCAGCGCGAGGGAGAGCCGGCAGATCAGCGCGAGGGAGAGCCGCAGATCAGCGCGAGGGAGAGCCGCAGATCAGCACGAGGGAGAGCCGCAGATCAGCGCGAGGGAGAGCCGGCAGACTTGCGCTGCTGCGAACCGGTTCCGCATTGTCGCGCAGCGATCCAGGCAGCTGCTTCCAGCGCATGGTCCATTCTCAAAGTGGCGCAACCAAAAAACTATAATTAGCACACGATCGTTCATGTCCGCACATATTCTCTATTTTCTGTCTTATTTGTGCCTGAAGCTCGCTACTGTGGAGCTCATCACCTGTGCTGTGGTGATGTCACCTCACGCAGCATCGAAAACGCGCTCTGCGCTTTTCGGTCAGGAGATCCCTTTGATCTGCTCAAAAGTAACTGATGAGGTGAAAAGGTAAGAATCCAGGCAACAGATTTTCTGGAGAATTAAGAGGAGATGCAGGAAGATGAGAGACAGACAGGACAGGAAAATAGTTAAATAAAAACAAGAAAACAAAGTAAAATGTAGGTAGATTTATCTCCACTACACGTTTTTACCAGTAAAAAACAATAAGTTATACACGTCATATTTATACATCTGATACAATTCAGATCACCTTCAAAACTCAGTCACACACCCAGGGCCGTTTCAAGACATTTTGGGGGCCAAGGCAAAATGCCCCCCCCCCCCCATAACTGGGCTCCCCAGAAGCCTCTGTGTAATTCATGCCCTCTCCAGTAGTGTTAGTTATATGGTGTTTATAAAAGCCCCTCAGACATTACTGACATGTTCTAATATTATCAGATGAAAAACTAAATTATCAGACATGCTGTCTCATCTGCTGCTTTTCTAAACCTGCAAAAAGTAACAAAACCATTTGAAAGCCACTATTTGTGGATTCTCTCAAAGTTTCCATGGAGTGTGTGACAACTTATTTTTTCATTGATCCTATCGTCTAATCTCACAGCTGAAACAAGCATCCTTAATAATCTGTGCACAGGAAGCGTACCGATGCTGTAGTAAAACAAAAGGTATAATAATTTATTATTAATAAAACCTTGTTGCAGCACTAAAGCAGAAAAATTAGATTTTGCATTAAATATGCAAAATATTTACATATGAATTGTTTTAGAGCCCTTTAATTGGCAGAATCTGATATTAATTTAGTTCTTACAAAAAATGGGTCCCAACATGGTTTGTGTGGCGTTGCCATAGTGTGACGTCATAGGCACAGATCCCCTGTCCTCTTGTTTGGAAATGGAAATATGGTCACCCTACATTAAACAAACTATCCACCCGGGCTTTTGCGCTGCACAGAGACGCTTCGCTGCCTACGACTGAATGTCAGTTGAGAGTCAGTCTCATGCAGACTGACCAATGAAGAGAGGGCCTCAAGTTAAGACCCTCTCCTCATTGGTCAGTCCACACGAGGTGGGTCAAAGTTTACTCTGGGCGGGTTACGTGTTGTCAGGCATTCAAGTATTGAGTATATTTACTGCATATCACAGTAAAATATTCTGTATGTGACCACATTATGGTGATCCTTGGGTCGTGATGATGGAGCCCTTGAATATTGTTGCCCAGGGTACAACAAAGTGTTAATCTGGCCCTGGTTCCGCCGTCACATTCCCGCAGAAACTGGTTGATCACACCGGGGCCAGACTACTAGCATGTGGTTTTACAACCACAATGTCCTCAGAAGCAAAAACGCTTTTAAAAGGGAGGGAGGAGTCCTAACTGTTGCTGCAGGCGTGTTGTGTGAGAGTGCAGTTATATACTGGTTAATATATTTTTGGGTTCAGTTGCTTTCATGTGGCCTAATGTGAGTCTATTTGGGATCATTGGAATGATCAGCAGCATTTCTTGATGTGACTTTATGGCAGTTGCCCAGGGCATCATCGCAAGGAGGATGGCATTCATTTACTTTTGTTTTATTTGGTATTTTTTCAGTCAGTTTTGGAAATAGTGATCAATTTTGATTAATTCACAGCCTATGTTTATTTACATTTAAAATAAATGTCAACAGATGAGATCAAACAAAACAGATGAGAATTGCCCTTAAGCTGTTTAACTTGGACCAAGCATTTTAGGTCACAGATAGATGTAGCTTAGGGTCTCTGTCTATACACCTTATAAGACAATTTAGGTGATGGCATGTTGTTTTTCTGCTATTGAACTGTTTTCTAATAATGTTGTGTTAAATAAAGTGAAGGAAGGAGAGAAATAACGTTTCCCTAGCAGTTTTTAAAAATTTCCCCATGTAATCCGATTAATCGATTAATCGTGTCGAGACCCCATCCGATTAATCGATTATCCAAATAATCGTTTGTTGCAGCCCTACAAAACAGGTGTCGCCACCTCAAAAACAAATGTAACACGTGATCGTTCATGTCGGCTCATTTCCTTTTATGTTTTCTGTCTTTTATTTTTGCCTGATGCGTGGAGCGGGGCGCATCACCTGTTTTGTCCTCCGGTGACGCACTGCGGCCGGCGAGCACTCCGCTGTTTTTGCGGTCGGTAGATCTTTTAGAACTGCAGTTCAAAGGTAACTCATAAGGTGAATATATATGAACCCAGGTAGCAGTTTCTCTTTAGGATTGAGAGGAGATGCAGGAAGATAATAAACAGGCAGGACAGAAAAATTGTCAAATAAAGACAAGTTAGTTTTTGTACCTGGTGGTTGCAACAAACAGACACCATTGAAGGTAATCAGAAGTGAGGAACAGAAAATGAAATAATTATTTTAATGTTTAGAGCATCA